TGTGTTTCACGCGGGGGGGGGGGGGGCCTGGCCCCCCCCGGGGGGGGGAACCGCCCCCCCCCCCCCCGCCGTAGGTGTCCGGGAGGAGGATGGCGGGGGACGGCGCTGGCAGAGCACAGCCGGATTGCAAACCTCTAACCCGCGCCGGAGAGCGGCGGCTCAGGCGGGGCGCGGGAAGCGCTGCCCCGAGTCACGGCTTGGCGCGGAGGTGCCTCGAGCCGCCCGACCGGGCCCGGGCAAGCATGGGGGCCGTCAGTGGCAGTGGCCGGAGGCGGGTGGGCGCCGAGAAAAAGCCGGCAGCGAGGCAGCTGCTTCGCCCACCGTGCGTGCCAGGGGCGTGTGCGGTGAACTCGCCGAGGCTGGCTCCCAGCCCGGGCTGCAGGCGCTCGGGAGGTTCCCAGGACTCCAGCCAGCGCTGGATGGGCCCGGTGGCTGGTGCTGCTCAGGGCTGTCAGGTTCCCGGGGTGGGGGAAGGGAGCGTGAGCCTGGCTGATGCCCTGCCTGTGCCTAGCCCGGGGCAGCCACGAGGCCAGCCCTGCCCCTCTCCCACGCGGCGAGTGAGGGTTGCGAGCGGGCCCCTGCCGAGCCGGGAGACCCGGCCGAGCAGTCACGAGAGCGGCTGTGAAATCGGGGCAGGTCTCGGTCTTCCCGGGCCGGGGCCTGCTCTGCTCTTTCCTGCAGCACATGAGCAAGAAATTACTCCTTTTGTTAATGAACGTGGCAATTCTCCCATAGTCCCATGACCCTGGGACCGTGGGGAAAACGCTGAGACGGAGATAAGATTGCCGGCCACGGCACAGTTGTGAAATCAGCCTGGAAGCACCAAAACGCCAGATGCCGAAGGGACTGAGTCTTGGGAAATCCCTCGCTCCCTGGTGCTCCACAGAGATTTGGGGTGGGGGCTGGAGGGACCCACGAACAGCGGCCGCGAAGGTGCGTACCGCCAGGGATGGCCCCGAGGGGTCCCGCTGGCACCGGACAAGGGCCGGAGACCCGTGGGAAGAGCTGGGGTCCTTGGCAGGAGTGCCCCCGCCTCTGCCGGGCACCCCTGGGGCATCCCGGCGACGGGGATCCGACAATCCTCTTGCTGTCCGTGACCGGCCATGGGAATAATCCCCCGCCCAGGTCACATAATCGGATTGCAGCCGGCTTTGCTCAGCCTACAGTGGGATTTGTGTAGGCATTTGCTCACCAGATCCTCTCTCCCCAGGCTTCTCCGCCACGCGGGGTTTGGGGAACGCCGTCCCTGGAGCCAACAATACGCCCCGATCCCACTTTGTTCCTTAATGAGGATTCCCGGGAGGGGCGCGATCAGCTAAACACACACAGCCTGGGTGCGGGTACCCAGGGACCTCCCTGCTATTCCCGTGGAGGTCTCCAGGCCCCTAGGAGCTGCCTAAAGCCCCAGCTTCTGGAGTCCTGGGGTTATGGGAGAGCCTCGGATTTTGCTTAGATGAGGCAACGACGCTCCGATCGGCCCTGGCAGGCAAGGAAGTGGGGCGACGTGGTCCCTGGGGGCTCGGGAGCCAGTCGGAGGGTGCGAAAGTAAGAGTCCCAAAGCAAGCGCCACCCGCTCCCCCATGCCCCTCGCTCTTCTAGCTGCCACCGCCTTGCTCCTGGCTTTGTTTGCAGCTGCCCCTCTGTGCTGGGAGCCGCGTCCGTGCCTCCGTCTCCCTGGCGGTTCTGGAGGTGGGGAGGGCGCAGGGTAGCTCCGTCCCCCTCGTGAATCCCAGGCAGGGCCCGAAAGGCAGCGAGCGGCTCCCTGCACCACTTCCCCGCTGCCGGGCTGGCCCAGAACAATGGAGAATCCCCTCCCCCACCCAGGAACAATGGAGAAAATCCCCCTTTCTCCCACCGAGAACAATGGAAGGTGCTGGGTGCTGAGTGCCCGGTGCTGGGTGCTTCAGTGCACAGACCGGCTCGTTGTGGGGGGAGAAGGGGGTTGGTAACGAGGGGAGACTCTGTGGGCAAAGCGCCCGGTTCTCCCAACCCAGTAATCCACCGGTCCGCGGCCAGAACAGCATCGCCTCCTCCCCAGCCCCGCACACCTGTGCGTACACACACGCACGTGCATGTTGGCGTGAATGCACCCGGGTCCTAGGGAGCACCCAGAGTTTCCTGGGGGGGGGAGGCTGTAAGACTTGCAAAAGGCACCCTCGAAGGAAAGCAAAGTCCTGCTCCCTGGTCCTGCCGGGGCACCGAGCCGTGCAGGCTGCCCCCCACCTCCTTCCAGTGCATCCCCTGCCCCCGCCGCGCTGCATCTTCCTGACAAACCCACTGCCATTTATTTAGAAACAAAAAAGAAAACGGAGTCAGGCAGAGGCCAAGCTGGGCGCTGGCTGTCCCAAGAGGCCTGTTCCCGGGGCTGAGCACCGGCATGCTTTGCCCTCGCAGGCGGGTAAATGCTTCCCCTAGGGCCCTTTGGGTAAATGTGATCTCTTTTATTAGACCAACTAAATAGTTGGAAAAGTTGTTCTTGGGCACAAACACAACGTGCCTGGGGCCCGGCTTCTCACCACGCAGCCAGGTGGAACGGGGGCCTGCATACCCCACGGGGTCACGCCACTGCTTTGCGCGGCATTGCGGTCCTTGGAGAGCCCGGCAAAGGCAGGCAGCCTGCTATTAAAGGGTTTAAAGCTACCCTGAAAAGCCCGAAGCAAGGGCCCCCCTGCCCCACCCTGCATCCCCCTGCCTGCTGCCTCTTGCTTCCAACGGGGACTGCAGGCTCTGGCAGGGCAAGGCCATACTGTCTTTGTACAGCACCGAGCACCAGGGGCCCGGGAGCTCTCAGCATCCGCGGGATTGCAAGGGATGGAGGGGAGCAGACTGCACTCACAATAGCTCCCGCCTTTTGCTCGGCAGCTGGTCAGTTTCACCCCTGTTTCTGGTCAGTTTCACCCCTTCCTGGTCAGTTTCACTTTCGGGGCGGACTGAAGGGGGGGTCGAGCCCCTTGTGCCGTCGCTGCTTTGAGCCCGCCCTGCCCGCCGGATCCGGTCCACCTGAGGCTGCCGGAGCCCGAAAGAATAGCTGGAAGAGGGGGGGCTGCCTGCCCCTTCCGGGCCCCTCATTGCACAGCGGGAGGCGGCTGGGGTTCTGAGGACCCCCCCCACCTGCCAGCGCGGGTCAGATCAGCCCCAGGCATAGG